GCCCCTCTGGAGCTGGCGGTCTGATGCCGATGGCTTTAGGAAGGATCCAAAGCCACGCTTGTCTCCTGTGAATCAGTGCACAGCTCTGGGCTGGGCACAGGGAAACATTACAGAAGCCTCCAGTCCGCCACAGGGACTTCTTGAGAGATGCCACCACAAAGCAGATTCTTCTCCCCTCTGGCATGCCGAGGGGCTCACAGCGCAGATTCTTTCCTGTAGTCGTTAGGAAGATTTTCTCCTATTGCCTGGTAAGCATTAATGCTGCTTCTTTCTTGGGTTTGGCAGGTAAACGAGAGCGCAAACTTCCAATATTTTTTTTCCAAATCACATTAAAAATGCCTGCGTTTCCAAATGACTAATAAAAACTGAAGTCTCCTGAGAGAGCTAGGGCTTTTCCCTGGGATTAGCCCCAAATGAAAAAGCCATTACTGTTGCAATACCCTTTAAAATTTAGACTGAAAGTTAAGTGTGCACGTTATTTTGAAGGGCCTCTCTGTGCAGTGGCGGAGAGAGTGAGTTGAAGGGAATGAAGGACCGAGTTTGAGCAGAACTGAAGACTTGTGGGATTTCCCACAAGTGGGTTCTGAGAGGGATCTGAACTCCTCCTCACCTGGTGGTTGTGGGATGTGGTTTTGGAAGGGACTTGTGAAATGATGAATGCACAGGCAGCACAGCTTCTGGCACTTCTGCTTGGCAAACAGCATTTTAGAGTCAATCAACTTCTCAAAGCGGAGCGAGGAAAAACAACCCACAGATTTTGCTAATAAGCTGTGAGTAGTTTTCTGAACCCTGGGAGCCGCAGGCTCACCCTGTTTCCCTTCGTGTCTACCCCAGTCCTGCCAATCATAATGAATGAGATCGTTTTGCACCTTAGCTTGCATGGAAATGAAATTACTCAACTGCATAGCTGTTTGCAGCCCACCATCTGCACCGTATTTACAGTTGTTACCAAATCGCCTGCAAACCCAGCTCTCCACAAATTGATGTTCATACTTTCATAGGATGGTTTGGGTTGGAAGGAACCTTTCAGATCACCTGGCTCCAACCTCTGCTATAGGCAGGGACACCTCCCATAGCCCAGGTTGCTCACAGCCCCATCCAGCCTGGCCTCCCAGGGAGGGGGCTTTATTTAATTGGCTTAAGTTTGCCCCCCAGAATCTAACTCGACTGAATTAAGAGCCCACAGCCTAAAAAATTGGGTTAATGTGAACCGTGGCACAATTTCTTAACAGTTTTGCAGCTCCTTCAGTAGAGCAGCACTAAGTGCAGGTGATGCTCTCTCAGGTCCCTGCTTCGCTCTGATTAAGGCAGAACATTAAAGCCATTTCCTCTCTCCCCATCGTGAAACTTAGTGACAGCTCTGTCACTCACTGGGAAACTTCCTTCTGAAGTTTGAGTGTCTTTGTTGTTTGGTTTTCTGAGGTTGCTTTGTTGTTGTTGTTGTTTTTTAATGGGAGCCTTTTCATTTCTTTTTATGCTTGTGGATCCGTACATCCCCTGTGCTTTGCTGACATCCCCCAGCCCTCAGCAACACAGCTTTCTCCCTGCTGAATGCAAACAAACAGCACTTCAGTGCATTGATGGTGATGGGATATTCTAAGAAAAGGGGCCGGGGCAGACTTCGTTTGTAGTAAATGAGCAGTCAGCTTCTCTTGCTTTTCATCTCCTGTTCAGATCTTAAGAACAATTTGGCATCTGTAAGATTCCAGAAATTATTGTCCTAAGAGAGACAAAACTCTCACTTGTTCAGCATGCGTGCCGGGGCTCATCGCAGCGCCTCTCTCCCGCGGGCACATTCCTGCTTGTTCTCCTCTCCCTGCCCCAGCCAGCAGTGCCATCCTGCTGTGATTCCAGGGCCGTGCTCTGCTCCCAGCCCCAAAGGAGGCGTCACGTGGAGGCAGTTCAGTTCTGCTGGCACCTCTACGCAAAGTTGGAGGCGAAGAAAGATGTTGTGATACACGGCTGTGTGAGCGGGCAGATATAGGAGCTCTGGAGGAAGGCATTCTGCAGATTGATCACTGCAGTGCTGTCACCATCAGCGGCGTGTAAGGTGTCAACTGCAGCCGTGTTGAATTATTCATTATTTCATAAATACGGTGAGGTTTCAGAGGGCAGGGATTTTAAGATCCATTGGAAAAGTGAAATGAGAGCCCCTGTAATTAAAAATCATTATTAAACTTCATTTATTTAACTTCATTTCAACTTTTCCCTATGCGATTATTATTAAAGTTATGATATTTATCGATTTTTCTACTCCCTTCCCTGTCTCTGTCAGCTAATGAGAAAAAAGTGGTTTTGAATAAAGCAAATAACCTTGCTCTCCCTAGACAATAGTTCTGTGCTCTCACGTTGACCCCTGGAAAGAGATTTACACGGTGATGCTCTTACTTTTTGCTGATAGGATACGCTGTGCACATCAGTACAGGCTGTAAGGAAATGAATTAAAAGGAAACCTGAGTTTGGATGTGCTCGCCTCTTGGATCCTTAATGCTGTCTTTGGTTTTGGAATGACTGGAATCTGCCCTGGGCTCTGCAGGAACGTAGCACAGCACACAGAGAGCAGCACTTTTGTGTGAGTGCTGAAGACACAGTGCTGTCCAGTTCCATGCAGACAGCCTTGTCTTTAGTTCATCGCTACCACAGAACGTATTTCCATCAGTACCGTGCCATCCAAGATAAAAAAGGCAAAACCCCCTTTGATATCTCAGCCAGCTTCATGGTCACGCTCTGCTGCAGGCTGTGTGTCAGGCATGGGCAGACGTGGCTGCAGTGCTTTCAACAGGGGGGTCTGAAGTCAGCGTGGTGTTGCAGAGCTGCATTTCAGTGCCCTTGAGGTTGGTTGTGACCCTGTGATGGGAGGTGCTCTTAAGCCCCATGGAGCTGTCCCTTATGTCATCCCCTTGCTAAATAAATATGTTCACCAGCTCACCTAGCCTTAGGAACAAAAATAAAGTCTGGTAACTACAGCTGGCTTTTATGTTCAGTCTCCCCATAGTGCAGCATTGCCCACAATTAAAATCCAGCAGGGTAAATTCAAAGCATTAGGTATTCACCTGGAATACGATATCTTTTTTGTGAGTTAGCTTGCAGGACTCTTTTCTTCTGATTCTGTAGAGCAGCATTAACGTAGCACCTAAGGGCATCAGGAAGTCTTGGAAATGCAGAGAGCAAATGTCCTTGACTTGTGCACAGCATGCCCCAGCAGCAGGACGCATGCATGGTGCTGCGTGCTGGTGCACAGTTGGGAAGTGGAGCCCCATGGTCCTTATGAGACAGAAGAAGAGAGAAGCAGACCTTTTGCAAAGCCTCCCTGTAGGTTCCAAGGACCAGGTGAAGCAGCAGCTCTCCTCCAGCCCAGAGACAAGGTCTCAGCTCTGCCCCAGCCTGGTCCCCATGGGCTCTGCTGTCCCTCCTGGCTCCCCCTGCCACTTACAGCAGGCTTTTTGCATCGCTTTCCTCCCTTCTTACTGCTTTCACTTCTGAAAAGGGAGTTCACTGGGTAAGTTCCATACACTGATGTGTAACAAGACAGTAACTGGCATCCCATAAAGGGTGGGGGTGAAAGGCAGAGGCAGTTCATGTTCCCTACTGCTGTGAACGTATGAACTCAGAGAAAATATGTCTCCTGACACGTGTGCTTGCTCCTTTCTCATTCGTCTGCATTCAGCAGATACTCAGGAATGAGATCATAGCTGGCATTTATTTAGAGCCATGCTCTCCCCACCCTTGTGGGTCCTTCAGCAGAGTGACTTTATCCAAGAGTTCATTTCCTCCCTGATGTTTAGCATGAGCAGAAACAAAGGTGGATGGAAGAACGTGTTGGCAGAAGGCCTCAGTTTTCATCATAGCCTTACGTTGAGAAAGGCAGTGTCAGAGCTGGGACTCGTCTGTCTGTCTGTGGTGGTTTTCCTTGTATTATGGCCCTACGTCCTCTGGAAGAGCACCTCTTTGTCTTTATCCATGTTCAAGCAACGAAGTTCAAGTAGAAAAAATACAGAGCTCTTAAGGCACCGTTTGTGAATGTTTTTCGTATAAATGCAAACTTGATTTTGCAACTCCTGAAAAAGGTGGGCGAAATCAAACAGGACGAGTCAAACTCATGATACCTGAACGCAGGCCTGAGGTGGAGGAGCACATGAGACCACTTTCTGCTTTAGAAAGCCCTTTCAAATCATAAGTAATTCTATGGAATTGCTCAGGTTGGAAAAGATCTTAAGGATCATCAAGTCCAACCACAACCTAACCATCCTACCCTAACTCTAACAGCCCTCTGCTCAATCATGGCCCTGAGCACCACATCCAAATGGTTTTTAAACACATCCAGGGACGGTGACTCAACCACCTTCCCCCGGGAGCCCATTCCAATGCTTAACCACCTTTCTGTAAAGTTTTTCCTGATATCAAACCTGAATTTACCCTGGCATAACTTGAGGCCATTTCCCCTCGTTCTGTCACCTGTCACCAATGAGAAGACACCAGCCCCACTCTGTTGTAAGCACCTTTTGAGAGACTGGAAGAGAGCAGTAAGGTCTCCCCTCAGCCTCCTTTTCCCCAGAGTGAACAGCCCCAATTCCTTCAGTCTCTCCTTGTAGGCCGTATTCTCCAAGCCTTCCCCAGCCTTGTTGCCCTTCTCTGGACCTGCTCCAGCACCTCCATGTCCTTTCTGTACTGAGGTGCCCAAAGCTGAACGCAGTACTGGAGATGTAGTTTGCTCCAGAATTGAAGTGCTAATGATCGTGGAATCATAGAATGGTTGGGTTGATGAGGCAGTTAAGCAATTTGAGCTCCTCATGCTTCATTCAGTAGCACTGGAAATCTTTCAGTATCCCTGATAAAATCCCCAGGAATCTCCCAGAATTTCTGACTTCAGTGCACTCTTTCTCTCTTTTCTTACAAGTAATTGTTCCCCCCCCTCTTCTTATCCCTTCATTGCACCGAACTTCTGTTGTTTTATGGATTTTTGCTTTAGCTTTTACAGGTCTCCAAAGCATTTTCCTTGCTTGAGTGCCGGAAGTATAGTGCTAATATAGAGAAAAGTGACTGGATATTAAAACTGCACGCAGGCTTTGAGACGCTGTGCCAAGTACAATAGGCTGGTCTCGTACCATTGGGAACTGGGGTTCTGCCAAGGGATTAATCCTGTTAAGTGCGTGCAGACAGATGTATTGATACATACCATACCTTTCCTCTATATCTGCACCCATTACTTACACTTACTGTTCAAAAGTAGAATGGTATGTGTCTGCGTTAAGTTTCATCGTACATAAAAGACTTTGCTGTTATTCCTTTGATGACAGCAAATCAGTGCCACAAAGGAACGCTGATGAAAATTTATTTGCATCTGTCTTTGAAATCTTTATCCACTGACAAAAGCACTTTGTATAGCTGTGTTTCATTTGCTCCATTGTTTTAACTTTATCATTTTCTTGGAGAAAGTAAAATACACGAAATTAAATTTCTTTTTCCTATTTAGCTGGCGTGCTCATAGTGAAATATAAATGTAATTTTTTTTCTCTTTCTCTCTTTCTTTTCTCATTTGACCTGGATTTGTCTTTGGATGGCTTTGATATCCCTGTGTGATCCTTTCTTCTTCATTACTTTAAAGGTAAGAACATTATTTCCTAAGTCAGTATCATACATATATCTGAGGTGCAGAAATTCAACTTGAAAGCCAGCTGGGGAAGAGGTTCGTAAAGAGGCAAAATAATTAGCGGCCATTTGGAGTGCAAGAAGTCCAATTAAGAGGTACACTTCTTGTTGTGTCTGCGCTAACCATTGGCTGCAAGTAGGGGTGCTCCCAGGGGAGGAGGCTGGTCTTTTCCTTGGCAGCCCCTGGCAGCGCCTTGCAGGCAGCACTGCTGTGTCATGCCATGCCACAGTGTGCCATGCTGTGCCATGCTGCACCTTGTGTCTCTCTTGCTGCTTCCCAGGGCCTTGCTGGGAGCGATGGAGAGGCAAGCAGAAGGCTTGAGGAGCTGTGCAGCAGCCTTGGAGCAGCAAATCTGTCCAGGACTGCAAGGAGCCAGACACGCTCGCTTCGTGTTTGCCTTCATGCAGGGGTTCCAGAGAATTGCTGCTGTTGACATGGGGCTCAGTGAATGTAAAGATGCATACATGTCTGCTTGTTTAAATTACAATAGAGAGATGGATGCCAATCAAGATCAGAGGATGTAGTGATATGTGTACAAAGACAGGCAAAGACATTGTCTCTTCCCTGAAAGCTTGCAGTGTTTTCTTTCTGTTGCTGTAGTACAAGTATGTCTGTGGTTTAGACTGCATTTTTTGCTGCTTTCAGGAGTCTGCCAAGTCTGAGGTGAAATACCTCCAAACACGCTCCTTCCCAGAGCTTGCTGCCTTTTAATGCCTTTTCAGTACCTTCCACTCCTCAGGAGCTAGACCCTTAGGGAGGAGAAATTTCTGCAGCAGGAATTTAGAAATGTGCAGATGTTGACAGGCAAGGCTGTGTATTTTCTGACAACTTCACAGCCCAGAATTTTGCTGAAGACAAGCAACGGGAACTAAAGTAGGGAATTTTATTTTAATAAGCACTGTTCTGTGCAATCAGCAAGTGGCAAACAGTCAAGTCCCAACGCTTCCCAGCTTGCACAGAGACAGTCCTCGTCTTCAACAGTTCCTAAGACGCTATTATTTTTCCAGACTTCGTACTGCTGCCCCTCTCAGAGGTCCAGAAATACATGCTGCAGTGTCTGGGTCATCTCTGCAGCCCCGCAAAGGCCTGGCTGTGTTCCAGAGAGTGACTGACAGGGAGGGTTGGACCCAGTAGCCTTGTGCCTTGCTTGACAATGGTAGGTTGCCTCCATTTACATAGTGACAGTGGAGTCACAGAAGACTCAATGCATTTAATTAGTGGGAATGGAAAAATTTGTGTACCCATTATGTAAAACATGTAAATTTAACCCTTGAAATGGAATTGTCAGTGACTCACCACTGTGGCTGGATGCCAGGGCCAGAGGCAATATTACAGAAACTGCCAATGTGTCACAAGAAATTAAATCAATGACATCAAGGTTCCTGGGTTTTGTGGAGGAGATGGTCAGTTGTGCCCATTACAGACTAAAGACTTCTCAACAGTGTTTTGTTGTGGGGCTTTTTGGTTTTTTTTCCCCATTAAAAATGTTCTTTGAAACAGGATACATATCTGTAAGAAGGCTAATTGGTAGAAGACCACAAAAACATGGAAGGAAGAGGAAGCATGCTGGATCACTCCCAAAGAATGTGCACTGAGCATACGGCTGCAATAAATATTGCACAGTGTGTGGCCACCCTAGGAATGCTCAAGCCCTGATGGGTGACGCAGCACCAAATAATGGCTGCGAGGAAAGTTCTTACCTACCCAGTCACTGCAAATGTTAATTCACAGGCCCTCGGGCAAGTTACATGAGGGTGGATTATCCCTGTGGGATGCCCTGGGGTCTCATTCGGCCTCATTGTAGAGGATGTGGAACAAAGAGCTTCATGGTGAGCTTTAGACTATTGTTTTCAATAAGAAGGGAAGGGACTTAACCCTCAGGCTGTGGCTGACACTTCTGGATCCCGTCCAGGAGCGGCTGTGTATAGTTGCAGTGCCTAGGATGGTGCACAAAAAGAATTTTTAAGGGTCTTTTTGAACTGCTGCCACTGTTGAAAAGCAAAAGAAAGGTCTGTTAAAGACTGAATGTTATACCTGCCATGCGGTAAATGAGCCTCAAAGGCTCTAGTTTTTCTGTCCTATCCCCGTGGCTGACATGGCACTTCATTGTAATCCACGCAGTTCCAAAGCAATGTTGCAGGCCAAAAGGGGTGTCCTGGAGCTCTGCGGGACCCGCGGGTCACTGGGGGGCATATGGCCATCCTGCTGGGCTTCCCAGAGCCACAGATTCATTCCTGACAGGCACTGAGGGAGCCTGGCAGGGCTGGAGCAGCCATGGTGAGGCTAAAGGAGGAGCTGCAGCCTGGAGGGGAAAAGCAGAGCCTATCATTATCAGTTCTCTTCTAGTCCTGGGCCTGGCCTCAGTTGGTTTACCAATTTACTCCTGATTTCTTATTTTCCATTATTTATTTCAGAACTGTTGCTCTTAAGCTTTCTCTGCTCTCTGGGGATCGTTTCACGTGTAACGTGACACAGCTTGGAGGCTCCTTCTTCTGCAGCTCTGCACAGCCATGCAGGCAGCACAGATACAGGTTAACAGTCCTTCCTGACCCCAGACGTCACCACCCGTGGGATCCCTGTGCATGCTCCAGAAAATTCACCCCAGTTCTCAAGGCCAGGCACTGAGTGTGGATGTGAGGCCTTGCAGCCTCAGACAAAGAGCCCGGCCGCCATGGGCAGCGCTGCCTGCTGAGCAGTGCAGGCTGTGCGGAGCTGACAGGACGGGCTGAAGCAGACAGACAGCAGGCGGTGGAAGCTCATTTGGCTTCATTCTGAGCTGAACTGCAGACTGAGCTGCCTGGCCCTGCCCCAGCGCCGCTGCCCGGCTCTTCCCACCCACCTGTCTGCACCAACGGCTCATGGAGAGCAGGTGCTCAGCCAAGAATGCCACAAGAAGGGCTTTTTCTACTGTAACACTGCTTTATTTTCCAAGATTTTGTAGTCTGGAAGCCTGAGGCAGTTATTAGACAAGGACGTTTAACTAGATCAGAGCCCGAGATTATTCCGGTCTCAGGTCACCGTGTCAAGTGCTGCTGTTCGCAAGAGTAGTTCGAAGGATTTAACTTCTTAATATCTCCAGTTACCTAGGGAATGAGCCTGACTTGCAGTGGAGAACTGCTTGCTCGCTCAGAACTGTGTGTTATTGCATGTCTGTGATTTATAGTGAAGCTCAGGAGCCGGGAAGGTCATCAAGGGAAGCTGAACTAAGAAGTGAAGAAGAGCAGTGAGAGGATTCCTGCCCTATTGTTAATACCTAGGGAGAGTTCTGCTGCCCTTCCCCAGCCTGGCCTGGTGCTCCAGCAGAGCTGTGGGAGCTGTGTGCACTCTCACTCCAGTTTCCATCGCCTGCCCGGAGCTCTGTAGCACAGCTCACCCACATTCTGCCTGCAGGACTCTGCGCAGGGCTCTCCCTGCCTCCTTTCTCTGCGCTTATCCTTGCAGCCAGTGGGCAGCCGTGGCAGAGCAGTGAAGTGCACAGTCCTGTCCTCCTTCTTCCTCGTGCAAATGGCGCTTGTGGGAGAAGAGTGGGAGCAGTGGCAGTGAGCAGCCAGCTTCTCTCTGCACTCCAGGCATTTCCACAGCAGCAACACTCCGGGGCCTGAGGGTTTAAGGAGGCTGGATGCCACCAAGGAGCCTGCCATGGTGACACACTTGGAAGTGAATTTCAGATGTGTGAAAAGTGCCAGAACTGACAGCAGTGGAGATCAGGGATGAACAAAATCTTTGTTTTTTATGATTTGGACACTGTGGGTCTCACAGTTGTTTTCTTCTTAAATATTATGGGGCTTGTGCTCTGCATAGGAAAGCAAAAATAGCCGAAAAGGTGTTTGGAAAAAAGGTGAAAACCTCTTGGGCAGCAGAACTGTGAGAGAAGAGCACACAGGGAGAGGGAAGGGGGACTCTTGCACTGTGTCACTGAACTGTCAAAGCAGGCAGAGCTGCTGGAGGCAGAACGGGCACCCTCCTCGTGTCACACATTGCTCCCTGTTCAAAACAGACATTTGCTTATGGAATGAAAGCCACCTTTAAAAGCAAGAATAATTTATGAGACTGTTGTTGGAGGACGGCTATATCCTGGCCTCCCCTTCACCTGCCCAGCCAAATTAAAAAGCAACCAAACACTGTAGCACCTCAATTCCAGTTTTGAGCAATCTGGGGCACTGTTACTCCATCTGACAAAATGCGATGCTGTGTCCAGAACATCCCTGTCAGTGTTTTCATCATACAGTTGCTTCACTTCCACTGTTGTCAAGAGAGTAAATGCTTAGTGAGTGATGGGATCAGTTTATGAACAGTGTTTATATCCCAAACACAGGAGCACAAGGCTCATCCAAACAACATTTGACGTGGCCCAGTGAAATGAAAGATGAAAAGGCTGGAAGAGAGGCTTCGAGATGAAAGCTGCAGAGTGCAATCCGTTGAGTTCAAGCTTAAGTTTAAAGGGCCATTGATTTGCAGGCTGTGAGAGGAATGGCAGTTTGGCAGTGGGCTGGTAGACAAAGGTGTAACTGAAAGCTGAAGGTGGACACAGTCAGACCAACCTGAGGTTGTGCAGTAGGTGAAGCGCTGCTGACAGCGGTTAAACTGAAACAAGAGTCTTTCAGGAATACACGCGGAATTCAAAGCAGTATGAAGTCATAGAAGCTCAACAGCCCATGTCATTTGGAAATCAGAATGGAGATTTGCAGTAGGCTTCTGTGGTACTACTTTCTATGAATGACAGCAAAATTAAGAATTTCCTGTATTTCCTTTTTTTGCTGAGATTTGGTCAGGAAATGAAAATCAGCATGTATCCATGGCACTGACTTGGAGAAACTTCTCACCTTGTTCTCCATGGCAGAAGGAACTCCTGCTTTGATTTGGGAAGCTTCTTTCCTGCCACACGCACAGGTGGAACACATAAGAACAAAGCTTTTCACAGCAGCTGCAGGTGTTTGTATTAGCAGTCACAAGACTTTGGAGGTATGTTTGCTAATTTAATGTCAGCGTGCTCTTAAAAGAGAAAACAAATGTTTCGCTCTTGAGGCATAAGTAAAATAGTTAATGTAATAAGTATTAGTGTGGAAACATAGTTCTAGTTAATGTAAGAAAATGGTGTGAAACTCAATAGCTCCTCTTCCACGTCGCCAAAAGGCAATTGTACAGCTGGTGATCTCAACAGGGCTGATCTCAGCAGGGCTGGGCTTGGCTGCTCTGGGACTCCACAAAGATCAGAGTGGTGGACATTCATCATGCTGGTGTGCAAAGGTGGACAAGCACACAGTCAGGAACGGGCAGAAGCAAGAACTTGGTGGTGGTGTTTTCAAAAGCAGCCAGGTAATTCTGGAGCCTGAGCTCCCATGAATAGCATCTAAAATCATCATTCTCATGAATTTTAAGTGTTGCCGTGCTTCTTTTCAAAAAACCAGGCTTTGTTGTGGAAGCCCACTCAACATCCAGCTCCTTCTGCTGAAAAACCTGGTGTAAAGACCAGAACAGGGCTGATGGTAGGCTTTCAATTCTGCAACATAAAATCTAGGAGTTATCGCAGCCAAAAAATACTCAGTGGAGTGTTATACCAGTAACCTCAGTCTGTAGTTAATGTGCACCATAGCAAGGGTTAAATGAACTGGAAAGCTCATAGAAGAAAGCTCATACAGTGCAGTTTTTGTTTATACTGAAATGTTCCCATATGTTTTGGTTAATGCAGAACATAATTGGGTCTGCCTTGGGATGGAGACATTTTTCTTACACGATTTATCCATTAATTGGGTGTGGGAGAGAGTCCATTTCACCAGAAATAGCTTCCTTTCCATTTTAGCCAGAAAGCTACAGTTGAAAATCTCCTCCTTTCCCCTTCCCCGTAGTGCACTCATTCTCCTCTCCAAAATGTTCTGCTTTTCTGCAGTGAAATAACCTGGTGGAATAGTTTCAAATATGAGGTAAAATAGTTCTGCCCTAAATGAGCTTCCAGTTAATGTATTTCCTGCCTCAATTTGCTGAGCAGCTCACATTGCACATGGATGTTGCTAAGTTAGAAAATCCTACATACAAAAGTTTTTTGTGTTTTTGTGTGTACGTCGCTTCAAAGTCAGAATTCCTGGTTTTGATTTTAGGACCTTTAGGACCTTTAGAAAAGTAACAAGAATGAATTGTGCTTGACATTAATTGCATCCTTCTGCCTGCTTTATTATTATTAGAATAAACAAGCTACTGATTTGAGGGAGAGAACAGTCCACGAGGTGTTTGAGGTCTTTATTTCCTTTTCGTTTGGTAAACTTCCAGTAATTTAGCTCACCTCATTTGCTCCTGGAAACCTGCTGTTGGGAGTGCTCAGACCTGAGAGAGTAAAATGAGCGAGCTGCAAGGAAGATGCCCATAATGAGATGAAAAGTTGGGACGTTTTGGCTTTGTCCGTTCGTTTGTGTTTTGATACGAATGTGCACAAAAAGGAGAGGGAGCATTGTTTGAAAGCAAGGCAGCAAGTTGCATGAAGTAAGAAGCTCAGAGATGTGTGCTTGTATAATTAGTCTTTAGGCATTATGAGGGGTTTCAGGACCTGGGGGATATATGGTGTATATTCTTCCATTGCCTTTCCATACAGAGCCGAAGGTCTCGTGGCTGCTTTGGTCTGCACTGATACGCAGTGAGGGATGCACAGCGGTACAGCTGTTATCTCAGCTGAGGGAAGGAGCCCTGTTGCACCCCAGAGTCTTTACTGCGGCTCCCCACTGTTAATTTAAAGGAATCGGAGTGGGTTTCTTCACACGCTACTGCTGATCTCCTGGTGCTTTATTGGTCCACAGGAGCCACTGACAGCCCATAAACTTAAAACAACCTTTGTACTCGTGCCACTCGCCAGACATAAGGCAGATTTGGGATCAGCAGTGTTTGGCAGCTACCTCTGGCCCTTGCCTGACCCATGCTATGCATTTTTAGATTGCAGCAGCGGATATGCCACAGCACACAGCAGAAAAGGAGGCTGGTGCTTAGTTGTGTTTGCCAGCGTACAAATGCTTGGTACCAAATGGCAATCCCCTGAATGTGGTGTTCCTTGGCTTTCTGAACCGGTGCACTGTCAGCGTATCAAGAGTGGTTCTGCCTGTGGGAAAGAGCCCTGCTGGGTTGGAGAGAGGTGTGTTTGCTTCACCAGAGGTCAGCCTGAGGGGCAGCAGCCCTGGGAGAGACTGAGTTCCTCCTCCTCCTGTGTGCACTCTTGTATCCCACAGCTATCTTAGTGCAAGTTTGAGCTGGCCTGTGGGAAGACTTCAGTAACTCACAGCTGACATTTAGAAACAATGGCGTCTGATTAGTACAGCGGTTCTGAAAAGCTTGCCTTCCTCCTGAACCACCTTCCTTTATAGACCTGTTTTTGTTTCCACATCTTATGCGTAAGTAGCATTTGCTTGTTTAAAAATACCTGTAAGTCAGATTAGCAGTCATGTGTGAGTCGAATGATATTGCAAGTAGAACTTAGTTGGACCAACAAATACAGTCAGGTATTTAGCCATCAAGTCTTAACACATTAAGCATCACTGCTTGTTATGCTGATTCTGTAAGCCAAAATATTTCTGCTATTGTATGTGTGCACATTGTCTAAATGTGTGCCACCATGTGGCTAACCAACTGCCATCTTGGACAAGCCTTGGTAATCAAGCTTGGCTAACAAGTTGTATTTGAGACACAAGGCAAAATCTAGTTCTACTGCCATTTTTGTGATCTTGGTGACTGTGGTGCACACAGTTGTAAAAATGTGCTGAAAATACTCCAGCAGACACTGAATGCATTTGGAGAACGAATCCACATGCTACTAACTTATTCATTCTTATTATTTCATAGCCCTGCCTCAGAGAACTGCTCTGTAGGCAGGACAGATCACAAGTCTCTGCTGCTTGGGTGCTACTGCTTCTGAGTATCTTAGGAGTATCTTCATATTTTGTCTCTCACTGTTTACCATCCCTTTTCCTTTTAATTAGTGCAATTTCCCTCAGCCTAACAGTTGCAATTGCTTCAATCTTTCCTTATCACTTTCTAGTTTGGTCCACTGCACCCATGTGCTTACAAACCCTTAGGGTCATCCAAAATTCCTATCACAGTAAAGAAATTGCCAGCTAAGAGAGAGAATTGTAACTGTGCAGGAGGCAGAGTGATAAATGAGATTCTAGGAGGAGGGAGTGAGAGGATATTAGTTTTCAACAGCTTCTGAAAATCCTAAAATAGACTATAACTGGGCCACAACTAACAGAAATCATGACTGCTTGTGATGAGCAGAGGCATTGCTGCTGTGAGAGATGGAGGTTTGGCAGAGGACACCTCCTGCAGCTCTAGTGTATTTAGAGTGAACGGCTTGGAGCTAGAAGGATCCTGGGGTCCAGTGCCAGAGTTCTTGGAGCTGAACAGAATGAGGTCAGCCTCAAGCGGTGGAATTTTTCAGCTGGCCCAGTGGTTTTCCAGGGGCCTGAGTCAAATTTTCTGAACACGTGAATCTGGCAATTCACAAATCTTTTGGTTTTTATAACATCCAGTCACAACAGTATAAAAACCACTTTGCCTGTACGTGTGGGCAGGAGGGATTATGGAGTTGGTAGATTCCATGTGAACCGACTGGGAAACTGTCTTGTCATGGCAGAGCAGTGACTGAAGTAAGAGGCACCAGTTTTCTACTCAGACTTTTATTTTTTGCCTTTTAGCTTCGTAGTGAATTAGCAAGGGAGGAGTGTTTAATTTTCTTGGCTGCAGTAGGACGGCTGGGAGTCCCCAGTGCTTCAGCTGAAGCCAGTGAGATCAGCAGAGTCCCAGGCAATAAACTGGGCACAGAAGGTTGACATTGCAGTAATGGCAAATAAGTCATAACTCTGTGGAGAGAACAGTGCTTGGCTCTGTACACAAGTTTTGACAATTTCTTTTTTCACAAGTTGGCCTTCCAAAGAATATGGGTCATTCAGCCTCTGCCTAAGCTATGAGATACGTGCATGTTGTTGCAATCCCTTATGGCCTGATTCCTCTGTCAAACTAACAAGGAGCAGCCTTCAGCTCTGTCCCAACCCAGCAGAACCACAGCACGGGGTGGCTGGGCACTGCTGGAAGTCAGGACAAACTGGGTAAGAGTTCCTGGGTCTGATGGCATTCCCATAGCTTGACAAGCCTGCTGGAGGCACTGAAAGCACAATAGCTCCAGCTGGGAGTTTTCAGAAGCTCTACCTTCGAACAATCTGATGGATCCACACATCCTCAATAGAGTGTCTCTTCCCTTTCTAGCAGAAAGATGACATCACCATTGGGGTCCTACTTGTAGAATCCTAGAATCACCAAGGTGGGAAAAGACTTCCACGGTCATCGAGTCCAGCCATCCACCCACTACCACCATTTCCCACTACACCATGTTACCACTATCTGAGAAGTGCCAGTGTTGAAATAGCATGCAGACAGAAGTTCCTGGTGTTACTGGTGTTAGCAGTGAAAGTCGACGCCTGAGGTGTTCAGCTGTCAGCTTGCAGCCAGGCCAGGTTTCTTTGTAATTCATCTTTATCATTGGTAATCATTTGAAATGTTTTGGTTTCTTCTTTTTGGAGTGGAATGCATTTACTTTTTTTTTTCACTAAGACCTATGGAAACCTTGTCCATGTAAAGAAAAAGGGAAAAATGAGAGTAGGTACAAGGGTAAAAAGAACCCTGTGTGGTGATGACTAGTGCAGCTAACCTCATCCCAGATGTTGGCTGAACAGAGAGTTAACTGTGCTGTTCAACCAGAACATCTTTCTCCTGTGTTTTAAAACAGAAGTCGTCTAATATTTTTTATTTTGCTTCTTTAAAAGGGAAGCCCTTTGTTTTGTTTTACAACCAGATTGACTTAACAGTGAACTGAAGGCTGGTATATTCAATACTTTAGGTAATTTTGGAAATGTAATCAAACAAATTAAATTTAAATGTGACAAATTTAATCACTACTCATCTGAAGCTCTTCCTTTCTTCTCTGCCTTCCTGGTCCTTCCTACCTTGTCATCTGGGTCGTTCTGAGTTTTTCTTTAAGAATATTTTCCTACTTCTTAAGGCTCAGATGAGATTCTGTGTTTAAAGGCAAGCTATGTATTCATTGGGGATGAATAAAAGTGCAGATGGAGCTATCTGTTTTCAAGGATAACCACTAACTTTGAGATGAAGGGAAAGGTAATAAAAGCTTTCGAAGGTTTTTTGGGTTAACAAATTGGAATGTGATTCATAAATCTGCCATCTACCCGCTCCAGTACCCAATCTCAAGTCTCACAGCAGGCACTCAGACGATGAGAACAATGTAAGGCACGTCTGTCTTTGCAAGAGGCTCTTGGTACCCGATTGCTGTAAGTGCTGTTGGAAGCTTCATCCACAGGATTTTGTGTCCGTGGTATTAATGGACATCTTGCTGATTATTTGCATCTAAGAACGTTTTTCATCTGAGGAAGAGAACTCTAGGAAGAGGAAAACTCATTCACAATCTCATGTAAATTCCTCACTTAAACTTAATCCCCCTGTTTCCTAAATCACATGCATAGCATGTTTATTCTATGAAAAATGTTCAGGTTTTGCTGTGAGTAACTTCACTTCAGGTTGAAATCTGGGTCCCAATCAGGAAAGCTGTTTTGTAGTAAAAGGGACCGGAGCATGTAGATTTTGCTGTTGGGGCCATGTTAAGGATTGTCCCAGAACTGTGGCAGTAAGGGGAAATCTTCCCATGCGTTTGAAACGTGATGTCATACTTATGATACTTATTCTTACATCTAACAAAGAAAAAAAGTAGTTACTGTTCATGAGGATGAGGAACTGAGAACGCCTTTATTCAAAGATGGAAACCTGTCCGAAGTCAAGTGCCCACAGTTGAGTTAGTTGAAAATATTTTGAGTTGAAAATTGAGTATTTTTCAACCGGTGCTACTTTCCATGTTCTTCCCCATTCTTTCTTATATTTTCCTCTTGCTTTTGGTCACAGTACAATTTCTCTGACTAATCCCATCACTCACCACTATGCCCTTGTTTGCTGGAAGGATGCCTGATGAGTCACGGAAGAGCATCTTCCTCCAGCCCCTGCAGGAGCTTCACTTCCATATCCTCAGCTGTGAGCTATTGACACACTGGTGCTTGAACAGGGAACGTTTTGAGGCTGTGATTGAATACCTGACTTATTCTTGGCTTTCAGTTTTTTGTCAGTGGAAGTCAGCTGTCTTGCATGACTTTTAAAGCAAAACAAAATAGACCTCTCCAGTTATTCATCAGCAAAGGAGAAATAAAGTAGAGTGGAGCAGAACTGTACCAGCATAGCATGTGAATGTCATCAAGGTTTCTTTAGTGATGCAGGAAGAAACCGGGCACTTCAGTTACATCTGCAGACAGGGAGGAAATGCTCTTTGTGTGGCACTAACAGATGGAGTCTAAATCTGCTGGTCTTTGGTGGTTTTGAGCAGAACTGCAGCTTCTTGGGAACGGTGTATCTTCTCAGGGGCTCAGAGGGAGAGCAGGCAGCTCCACATTGCAGAGCTCTGCTGCGTCTTGATAGCAGTGCACCAGAGTAAAACGCAGGAAGGGGCCCTGAAAACATCTGTGTGACAGTTCAGGCACACTTGTAGCTGTCTGTCTTAAAGGCCAGCTGTGTCATTTGGTGTTTCTTGCACTTGGTTGCTGGGGACTGTGCAAGAACAGGAAAGACCCAAGTTGACTCAAACTGTCAAAATTATTCCCCATGAGAAGGAAAGCATCTATATGGAGGGCACTGCCTTGCAGCACGGAGGAGACCAAAACCAGATGCAGCATATGGAGATGAAGGCTTCTCTTGGATATGTCAGACCCAGCCATAAACAGAATTTCCCATTTCTCTTTAATTAAGCCTCTTCCTGTCCAGTTGCTGGGAAGTAGATCCCACGGCAGTAATTGGAAGGGAAAAACTTGGTGCCTCTGCTGTTAATTTAATACCTTCCTGTGGATCATCCTGAGAAAACTGTTGAGCGTCTGCCCTGCTGTCGAAGCCACAGAGAGGCTCTGGCTCTTCCAGGCACCTCCTGAAATTCCCCACCCACACCTTGCCCTGCAGCACTGGGCTCTGCCTGGCAGGGTGCGGGTTGGTGAGGGTCTGCCCAGCCCAGCTGCTACCCAGCAGCTGTCAAACACTGTATGAAGGACCCCTCCACGTCTGCTTTTGGAGGAGCGCTGTGCTAGCGAGCTGCAGCGTGCAGTGGTTACAATCTCTTGGTGAAAATACGAGATGCAAGAAATGAGCAAAATCTAAAGTAAACTGTTCACACAGAGGTGATCATCTGCTGATTGCTGATACACACAGGCAAAATGAATCTCTGTTTGAAAATGGCTTCATTTTGCCCTTGCCTGCTTTTTTCTTATAGGTGGAATAACTGGCTCTTTAGCAGAGCAGAAGGCTCCACTACTTGGGTTTCCACGGTGCGTTCTCTCTCCCAAACAATGTTTGCTGCCCCTAGAGCCTAATTATCACCTAAGAGATGTTAACAGCCAGATCATTGAAACTTTCAAAAGGTTTTGATCAAATACAAGCAAGATGTAGTTTGTATTTTGCTGCCCTGTATTCCAGGAGCAGCTGGTCTCCTGAGGTGCTGAAGTGTGGACTAAGTTAATGAATTTAAATATGCTTCTGTTAGATCTTTTAATCATGAATGTAATTGCATCTGGTAGTCTTTTTAATTTTTAAGTATAGAGTATGTGATTGGATTTCTTCTCTTTTTTTTTTTTTTTTTTTTCCTATTCCAAATTTATTGCTGCTGTTCCTCCCTGCGGGGGATTCTCCAGTAGGAAGACCTTGTCTCCCTGGAGTGTGCACTGCGAATCTTTGCTGTACTGATTCTTTCAATATTCATTTTCAATGCTAGCAACCCCCTTCCTTGTCCCTCTCAACGATTGCTCCTGCTTCTGCTTTGTTAGATCTGGCGAAAGGCACACAAGCGTGTAGTAACAGGTACACCAAGCCCAAGCATGGAGTGGGAGGAATTTACCTTTGGTTTCTCTGTGCTTGCGCTACATGCCTTTCATGCCAGCTCTGGCACTTGTCTCCAGGCTGACTGGAAGAACAGGATGCACAACAAGCATCAGCCTGGCTTCACAGAGAGAGGAACAGCGACAACTTGAACCCCAGCACCTGTGTCCCACAGTCGGCTGAGAGATGGAGCTTTTCTCTGTTTGAGCTAATTGATGATAAAAAACATCATCGGGCTAAATGGAGCAAACAAAGGAGGCATTGCTGGCAGTTGCTGTGATGCTAAACATTTCCCAGATCTTTTTCTTATGTACACACCCATCTCTTTGAGATGAAAAAATGAAATACGCCAGGCTGAGATTCCACAGGGGATTCAAAGGAATGGATTGCAATGACCCTGCTACCCCCACCCAGCTCCTGTTGGCAAAGTACTCAGAGGAAAGATAAATTCTCATGTGAGGAGACAGTCAAGGGGCTGGATGGCTCTGGGCTGGAAACAGCCTCTTAAAACGAGATCCCAGCTCTCATCCTTCCCTGGTTGGCGATGAGTGAGAGCCTGTCCCTGCGCAGCAGTTTGAAGGAGCAGGTCCCAGCGGGCAGAGTCTTAGCCCTGCATGGGTTAGGGATCTCAGTTGCCACATTCCTGTTTCAGAATTTACCAAACACGAGAAACTTTTTCTCTGTGATGAATTGTTTTGACAGAGAGACTAAGGACATGCCTGCATTCAGAATGGGATTATTTCAGTGGAGCTGTGCTGATAAACGCCTTCTGGAAGAGAACTCACACTGGCAAGCTTTCCTCTGCCTCTGCAACTTACCCCGTTTCCCTGGACAGAATAAGCTGGGCCCACAGCTGTGTAGATAGCCACCCACAACTTGCTGGCGTGGCTCTTTGGCTGACAACGTTCTTGTGTTATTTACTTCTTCCAGCTATGGCTCTGCCAGCAGAACTTTCCTATAATGAGTGAGGGCGAAATACCCTGTGTTCGTTTTTTGGAGGTGAGGTTTCTTAGTCAAGCCTGAGGGAGAGACTTTAGCAGGAGGCTCAGCAGGTACAGAATGGTAATCTCTCCACACAAAACCCAGTGCCTCGTGGTTATGTATGCAGCCTGACCTGCAGGCCGAGGGCACTTTGCATGCGGTGTTTCAGTAAGCAGTGAGTATGTACATCTGCACTGGAAATATAAACACCTGGGAGGAGAGCTGTGCGTGCAGCAACCTGCCTTGGGAGGATGCTCTCAGCCTGAGCTCATGCTCAGCAGCACTGAGCTGAACCTGTGGCTCTGTCGGCTGGCATTGCTGCCCCTCAAGGGAGGGGGGCACACGGTCGTTGCTCCCCCACCCACCCAATGACATGAAACTGCACTTTTGTGGCCTTCAGACGTAGTGCTTACAACAGATCCCATAAGAAGGGAAGACAAGTGTTGCCCTGGGGAGGCTCCGTGGATGCTGCCAGCATCACCCGCCATTCTGCAGCAGGCAGCTGCCATCTAGTGGGAGCAGGGCCGCTCCATCCAAGCTTCACTTTCCCTTTGTGCTGGAGTGCTGGGTGCTCCCAGGCTGCAGGAGGTGCAGGAGGACTGCTCCTTCTCACTTGAAGGCAGTGCTTTGGGGAATTGCATCGTGCACATCCAGGCGCATCGTTCCATCCATTTGCAGTGAAGCTGCAGGGGAGCTGGGAGCCTTCCAGAGTACTTCCTATGGAAGGGTAGGCAATAATCTTGATCTGTGTTTAAAAAAACCAAACAACCACACGAGGACTTTCGAATCAAAAGCAGCTTTTCAAAGTCATGTTCAGCACATTGCTGCTCTTCTGCTAGCTGTTAGTCCTGCAAGTTGCTGCGGGGCACACAGCCTCACTGAGCACCATTGGAGGCTGGAGGAGCTGTGTTTGCCAGGCGTGACATCCCTCCCTTCCAGAGCAGGACACCCACAGTAGCCTAAACCTTAAGTTCTCTCTTGCCAGCTCTTCGGCCTGTAATGATCTGAGGGATCACCCAGCAGAGAAAGCCTTTGGCTGCTGACGTGTTGAAGGCTCCCATGCCCCTGTGAGGAGCCAAGCCACCAGTTTGTCTGTGTGATGCCTGCAGGTACAGGCAGGAGGAAGGCAGAGACTCCTGTCACCGCATCCTTGGTCGCTGATGTACCTGGAGCTGGTCACTGTCACCTCAGGGTGCTGGCCTGGCCACATGATGGATGTAGAGCAGTGCTTTCCGGCACTGCCCAGCTAATGGGTTTTGCAGTATTTGTTGGCTTCCTCAGCATGGTGATTCACTTAGGAGAGAAATTGTTGCTGTGACCTAGGCTGTAACTCTGACAGTTCCTGCTGGATGTTTGTGTGCCTGCTTTCAATGAACTCTGGCTGCTGAGCCTGCAGGAACGTGCTGGTGCTGTGTGGTGTAAAATATCTGCCCCTTGCACTGTGCACGTTAAAGATTTTCCACTTCTTTGGGAAGCAGCGTTAACTGTTAATTGCAAGCCAAGCTCATGCTGTGTTGTTTTCAGGCTCAAGCAAAAGAAGTTGAAATTAAGACTTAACCTACTGTTTTCAGTTCAGTAAGTTGTGGGAAAAAAAGGTAACGATGACCATGAAGTCCCCAGTTGTGCTTTCAGAAGTGCTGGTGTAGCATAAGGAGCAGCAGCATCTCCCTGCAGCTGCAGGCCCTTCTGCACTGCCTTCAGGAGCAGTGAGAGCACTTCCCAAGCTCTGGCTCTGCAGCGAGGCTGTCATGGGGCTGGCAAGGCCCATGTGAGGTCAGCTGCTGTGTGCTGCATGCCCGTTCATGGGTGCTTCACATCTGGCTGTTAATAGTGCCTTGATTTCCTAGGAAATATTTCAGACAGAAGCGCAGGCATCTTGTTACTCCAGGAACAGCGGTGTGCGTGTGTGCGTACACAGACTTGGTGCTGAATAATTGAATGTGGACGTATCCAGGTTGCCAGCGCGCCTTCCAGCTTTAAAGCAAGGCGCTGTTATAGGAAAATGGGATGTTTTACTGTCTGAAGACAGATTTTTTTTTCCCCAACTAATCCTGGTGTCTGCAGCTGCTGTCTAGATATCACCTCTTAAAAGGCAGGGAATGAACTTCTGAACATCTGTAGCAGCGACACGAAGTGGCGTGGTTTATTGTGGAATTAGGGATGATGATGGCTGGATTACTAAATTGTAAATCAATCAAAGGCATTCTGATGATATTTTAAACCATGGGAGAGACTCGTGCAGAAAGAGACAGTGATTTATTGCGCCAGCCGGCAACACATCCATCCCCAGTCATTTTTATTTATCATTATTTTGAAAAGATTTCAATCCTTCGTTAAAGTGAATAAAAAGTAAATAAATCTGTAATGATGATAGAGTTTCACTGCAATGCAAATTGACACTTCTGCATTATGATTTCTGGTGCTAGGAATGCAGAGAATAAGGAACTTAAGATATACGAACTACAACATGAATTAGTTCAACACTTGCTTTTGTTTAAAGTAAAAGACGAAAGCCTTTTCCTCTTTATTCTTAGCTCTACTCCTTTGCAGGATTCTCGCACTATTTGTAGTTTTAAACCATTGGCACCATTGGATTTTGAATGCTTAGCAAGTCATCCATTTCCAAGGCATTAGCAGCAGACAGGATTTATTTCAATCTGTGCAGTTGATTCTTTGATCCAGGGCTTGCTTAAGTGCATTCCAGTGCAATTAATTAGAAAAACAGCATTAGGCAGTGGCAACTCCTAGTAATCTTAAATGTAAAAGCAACTGATTAGTACCTCTGCTTTTCTGAGGATTATCTGTTTGTTGCTTGACAGCATCTGCTATTCCTGTGCAAAGGAGAGGCAGTTAATTGAGATGAGGGAGCTTTGGTATTGCTTATAAGCCACTGACGTGGCCGTTCACAAGAAAAGCAGCAGTGTGGGACCTCTCCCTGCACTGGGTTTAGAAGAAGCTGAGTAAATGGAATCAGGGCCAGTCCCCTCTCTGCGCTGCTCAGGGCCCTGCATCGTGTAGCTGACATGGATGCAGTGGCTGTGCCTCCACAGCCCACTGGGATCTCTGGAAATGACTCCTTGCAGCTGCTTGCAGGAGTGGTTTCTGCTCTTTGTGTCTTCTTTGGGACGCGTTGTTTCCTGACATGCTGTGGCCAGCTGAGAGTTACCATGTTTCCTTGGATGTCCAGGGCTTGCCAAGCTGGTTTCCAAATTCTGTGCATCTCCGTCCCTTTTCCTGAGCCTTCCCAACACAGTTTGTTTGGGACGAGATGGAGCCCCAGGCACCTGATGGCTGCGGGTTGTTGCAGTGTCCGACACACACCGCATCCCTTCGGGCCAAGGCAGGCCATTGCCAAGGGATTCAGTTCTCATGTGCTGAAGTGATCGGTATCTGCTCCTCTGCTGTTGCTTCCTTAGTCTCCCTGTATGGTGTCTCTATAATTTAATTATCTTCAAGGAGGCAGGCTTCCTATCTGTCAGGCTGTTAGCCTTTTCCTGAGTCTTTCCTGAACCTCGCTGCCGGCAGAGCTGGTGTGATTCACAAGAGAAGCTGCCCTATGGTTCAAAAGAAAATGCAAATTCCAGCCTATCTGCTTTGTTTGCAGCTAATTCAGATAACACGCCTTTGCATTTTGCGTCAGTACTTCTGCTTTGTCCTTGCAGTATTTCACCTCGCTTCTGATTTTCTTTTTCCTGTGTGGCCGTATCCTGATCTGTCTTCTGCATCCTGAAGCGTGCAGGGATCAAGGCAGGAAGCTTTCTTCATTAGTTAAGATTGTTTGTCTGCACGTTGATGCTCGGGTGAACCCCTGACACTCTGTTCTCCCAAGGCAAACGCAGCGAGGAGCTGTGCGGATTTCCTTTCTATATCAGCTCATTCCGGCCCTGAGGAGGACAACACCCAAGTTCAGCCTCCCTGGTAGCCCAGCAGCCAGCACTGCCATTGGTAAGGGAACAGCACTGATCCCCTACAGCTAGAATGGGACCTCCGGTGTTCTCCACTGAAGCAATGTACTGGTAGGGAGAACCATCTTATGCTACCTGTCTGGTTCAAGTTGGTTTCCTACACAGAGATGGAAAGTGTAATGCCTCATTATGAATCTCTCATTTCTCTTCGCCAGCTGTCAATTTGTTTCTTGCTTGATTTCAGTGCGTCTAACAGGAAGAGACTAAAACAAGGAATGGGTACAGTATCCTTCTAACACATTACTTCATAGTAAATAGGGCTGTAATCTGTTACTAGAATCTGTATTTTGTGTACTGCAAAACCAATAAAAATGAAGGTCTCTGCAGTAGACCCAGTAAGTGAATGGAAGGAAATCTTTCTTATGGAGAATAGCAGAGTTTTCTGGGTTTTTTTCCGTCCTGAAATTTCCTACCTTGATGACAGGAGGGGTAATAATAAAAGCAAAAGAATGTGAAGAATAGGCACGGGCTTGCCATCCACATTTCTGCATCTGTCCTCTGCCAGCACTGATGTCATTCCTCTGGCAGTGAAACTTTCCATTGCAGTCAGTCAGCGTTCAGATGTGCTATTGATTAGTCAGTTTACGAAGGTCACTTAGGAATCGCAACAAACCTCCTGAAACTTGGGAAGGTAATAAATCAGTGGCATTTGATTTGTAACTTGCTGTCATTTTTGGTGCCTTGCTTCACTACAAGACAGCAGTCAACGCTTCCGAAGCGCTTGCTGTGAGGAAGGTTATGATGGCAAAAGAAAGCACTTGTTTATAGGCAGTGCAAGTAACATAAGCTTTTAATGGGCCCGGGAGGAGCAGGAGGCTCCAGGGGGCTCAGGAATGCCTTCCTCTCCGCCCCCGGCTGCTCCCCTCACCATGACCCCCATATTTTTTTCCTCAAGCCTTTGGCCAATTTTCATCACATCTGTCATTTTGAAAAATGAACTGGCAGTTTGCTCCTAAGGTTCCTAAGAAGTGATGTATCTTTTTTTAGATTAACTTGTTTGCAAGAGACAGTGCTACAGGAAAGTCTTGTGCTCACGGAACAGCTCAATTTCCTTGAAAAGCGGAGATGTTGTTAAAGCTCAGTCCGTGTCTGTTCTGCACATTGTGTGTGAAATAGTCACAAGGCACCAGGGTGGTAATAAGGCCAGATTTGTTTCCTGGGTAAACACCTGGTAGCAATAGCTATGTAACTGACTTGTATGAATCATAGAATCACAGAACGGCCTGGGTTGCAAAGGAGCACAGTGCTCATCCAGTTCCAACCCCCTGCTGTGTGCAGGTCACCAACCAGCAGCCCAGGCTGCCCAGAGCCACATCCAGCCTGGCCTTGAATGCCTGCAGGGATGGGGCATCCACAGCCTCCTTGGGCAACCTGTGCCAGTGCCTCACCACCCTCTGGCTGAAAAACTTCCTCCTAATATCCAACCTGAACCTCCCTGTCTCAGTTTAACACCATTCCCCTTGTCCTATCACTAACCACCCTCACAAACAGCCGTTCCCCCTCCTGTTCATACGCTCCCTTCAAGTACTGGAAGGCCACCATGAGGTCTCCCTGCAGCCTTCTCTTCTCCAAGCTCAACAAGCCCAGTTCCCTCAACCTTTCCTCACACAGAGCTGCTCCAGTCCTCTGCTCATCTCAGTGCCTCCTCTGGCCCCGCTCCCACAGCTCCACGTCCTTCCTGTGCTGGGGGCCCCAGGCCTGGATGCAGCACTGCAGATGGGGCCTCACAAGAGCCGAGCAGAGGGGCTGAGTGTGGGACAGTGTTATGAAATGCGCAGCATCAAAACTGTGCAGCACGGAGAGCTGAGGCAGAAGGGTCAGCTTCTCTTACCTTTTCCACCACTTCTGCAGGAGAGATGTGCTGAGTCCTGCACATAGAGGTCCGTACCTGCACGAGCTTTGCACTCCCTGGCTGTGATGGAAGGCTGTGTCAGCCAGCATCACAAAGCCTCACAACATTAGGAAGTAAACAGGAAAAAGGAGAGGTGTGGCTTTCCATCTGTGCCTAAATCATAGGTAAATTACTTTTTAACTCAATGTTAAATCAAACTGGTATTTTTAAGTGTGCCTATAATGAGTACAGCACATTTAATTCCTGCAGGATGACAGAAGCGTGTAATAGATTTTGGCTCCCCCACTATTTCAATCAAAAAAAGTTGGTGTGCATTCTGCAGCGTGGGATGGACTCTCCTGAGCTCCCAGCCGTTGTGCTGTAGGTGCCAGAGTTCAGGCTGACTTATTTGTTTTGGGTATTCCTCTCTTTTGCAGGACTTCAAGGGGTTGGAGAGAGTTGATTGTGTGTGAAACGCAGGAAGAGGTTAAATGAACACCAGATGAGAGGAAATAGACGGAGGAAAATTAGGGCTATTTGCTACCAAAGGAAGTAATCATTGTACATATATTAAATTCCAATCTCTAGCGAGGGTGTGCTGTGTTACACCAGAAATCTGACCGTAGAACTGAGTAGGTTACTCTCAAGCCGCAGGTCGTGGCTGGGAGTGCTTCTTTAGGAGATGCTGTCTGGAGGTGAGAGCTAACTAGTGTCCTCCTCCAGCAGCCTTAGTGAGGGGACAACTGGCACGTGGCATGAAGGCATCTTGCAGAGATGCCTTCCACCCACCATAAGTTGGGCATTGCTCCTCTTTTTAAAACAAAACAGAGTGTTTTTTGGTCCTGCAAGCTGGCAGACACCCTGTTCCATCCGCTTCGTTGAGCAAGGACATGGAAGGATATATCTTTTTTTTGTTAAAGCATAGCCTGAGGGCACAGTGCTTTGACAGATTGGGGTTGTATGGTTGAAGCTGACCTATGCAGCTTCCTTCCCCTTCCCCCACCGGCATGGGAATGGAAGCACTATCATTATTTCGCTCTTAATCTGATGGAAGGCCGCCACAGGAAGGCTGTGTTAGGATTTTGCTCTTCCTTTGAGGGACAGCGGAAAGCTCAGAACCTGTAGGAATAAAAAAACGAGATGTTTTGGCTGTGTGGAAGAATTTAATCACAGCAAGGAATGGGGAACTGCACAGCTCTTAGCAGATGTCAGAGACCAGCGGTGGGAAGGAAGAAGGGGGTATCACATAGGAGCGTTGGAGAGAATTGATGGAAATGGGCCTAGAGACGATAGTATCATACTTAGAATCTGTCACAATCAGAAGTGTGCTGACTGGTTATAAGCAAAGGAATGTTGTGTTTTTCAGAGGAAGGAAGGTTTCATTTCCCCCTCATTTGCTGAGGAATTAGGGCAAAATACATGGAAGGCTTCAGCTGCTCCCTTGGATCTGCAAGAACACATTATTTTTCATGCACATCTATTCAGTGACTGTGTTTGCAACGTGGCCCTTCAAAAAAACAGTGCTGGCAAAACTGAGGCTGCTTTGTGCTGTGCTGTGAGATGGGAATGAGAGGTCCAGGGTGGGAAATGTGTAGGGCGGCACTGCTGCTGACACTGTGTCATGAAAATAGCCTTCAGTTAACCATTGTCATCTGACCTCAATCCCTGCTGAAGCGGGGGCTTTGCATAATCATTGAAGAGAGGGTCCCCGCTCCAAGAGATGTTATGTTTTGAAGTGCCAAAATAGACAAAGGAAACATTGTCAGCCCTTCACACATGGGAAATGGAGGCATGGAGAGAGAGCTTTGTCTGGGGCACACAGGGGAACTTTGACATAAGGGCTCCTTAAACTCAAGTTTCCTGAATGCATTTGTGTGCTGCAACCACAGGGCTTCTTCTGCTCTCTAACAATAGATTTTTTTTCTCTCCGAAACTTCAGTTCCACGACAGGTTTGTCTATCAAAAACACGACTATATTTTGCTCTATTTAATAAATATTTTAGTGCTTCTTTCTTCTGACAAAGCTGCATAGCTTGCATGCACAGCAGAGTTGCAGTACTGAAGTGGCAAATGCAAAAGCTTCGGGTGGGTTTTCACTTTGGGTGCAGCAAGGAGACTAATGCAAGGAAAGACAGAGATGTGACTTGAGCTTTTCCTTGCCCTTGTGGCGATTACAGCCTACTGGATAGAAAGGGAGCCTGCAAGAGTAGTGGTACTTTCCTGCCCAACCTCACATGGGAAGGGGAAGAAGGAAATATCTTGTTAACTAGAAGGCCCTTTTTCTTTCTCAAGGTTTTTAACTCCAGGAAGGCCAGTGAGACTTGGTGTGGCACGACCAAGCTTGGGCTGTTGGGTTTTTTTTATGAGGCAGCACTGAGTGGAGCCATCTGGGCTGCGAGAAGAATGCACTTCTGCAATGAGCCTTTAGGAACACTGGAGTTAAGTAGCAGTCTGGGGCACCATGCTGAAAGGAAGGGCACCCCCAGCTCTGCGTATTTTATGAGCTCATTTTATCTCTGATGACAAAAGAGAACTTATTAGTCGCGCGGTTCCTCATAAATTTCAAGGCAGTGCTGTCAAGTGGCGCTGCCTGTGTTCTCCACCATGCTGGCAGAAAGTTCTCTCGACTTTCTGGCTCACAGCATTGATAGCAGTGCTGCTCGTGGACGAGATCTAACTTTTCTCTGAACTTAAATGCAATCCCCAGGTTTCTGTTTGAGAATGGAAACCTAATTATCTTGAGGAACTTCTTGGGTGAATACTTCCTTGGTCGTTCATCTAAGAACAAAGCAGCTTATCTACCTCTGCAGTTCCTGAGGCTGCGGTCTTCTCACAGATGTGCTCTTCACTTCCTTGAGAGCTGCGTGATCCTGCACCTCTGAGACCAGTAACCTGAAAGCTGAATACAGCTTTGGGAGCACAGCTCCCCGTGTGTCAGCAGTGCATCTCAACTTGGGCAGTTAAAACTATTCTTTTGCATTGCAGTCTTTGTTTTTTGGAGTCTTGTAAAAATTATTTTATACGCTTTTGGGACAGCTTCCCAAAGAACCTCAGGGTGCCTGGTTCTGCTGCCTATACTCCAGCTGGCAAAGATGCATCTTGTTTCTGTTAGACAGCACAGTGCTTGAAGGGGGGGAGCTGGCTACCTAGCAGATCTGCAAAGGGGCACATCAAATTCAGTATGTAAGCTGTTTTACTGCATTCTCTGCTCTCTGAGATGGATATTAGAGATCACAGTGGCAACTCATCTACTGGTGCATCACATCAACTCAGATGATAGCTTTTATAGTACAGATGTGAAGAAAGAAATTCTTGCTCATTCATATTTTTACACTCCGTGTCCTGCTGAAGCTGTCTCAGTTTCAGTGGATCCTAAAAGCTTTGCATGATGTTTGTTAAGCTGATGTACTCACAGACTCTTAAAGGGGAGGAGATGGCAAACTGGACTGAGGGTTACAGCAGTGAGTTTAATGCCAGTTCTGCCAATGCCACCCTTCAACTTCATGCGAATCATTTAATATTTCCCTTGTCTACCAGTCCTTTTTTTTTCCTCTATCCACACTTGTATAAGCTGCAGGTCTGGGCAGGAATTAGTTCCTCTCATGCCTTTGGATGCCTCACATGTGGGTCCCTGATCTGAGGTGAAACGTGACTGTTTGTGTAAGCCACACAATGATAATTGCCTTCAACCTGCTTGAGGAAAAGATGCAGCCTTTGGATTGCACTGGTGTAAATAAAAAGCCCACTATGGTTCATAATTTAAAAAATGCTGGTAGTGTTTAGCATCAGTGTCTGTCACTTGCACATCTGGCATTCATCATTGCTTCCATTTTCCTTCCACTGTCATATTTTATCCCCATCTGTTGAGCTTTTAGCAGTGTCTGTATAAATGTCTGCTTCACAGTCTGGGTAGCTGGGTTGCTGAATCCTTACAGACTGCAGTGTAAATGAAGGAAAATGAGGTCAAGTTAAAGGGAGAGTTTCTCTTATGCGCTCTGCTCCCCATGTCCCCTCTCCCCACACCCAAACATTGTATTGCACAGCACTGCTAGACAGCGTGATACCCTGGCTATGAAGGGAGGCTCAAAAAATAGCAAGTTTTTTTAGCAGCCCTAGTTATGAAAGCAGAAAACAAAGGAGAAGCTGGAGCCCAAGCTGACACCCGTGCTGTTGTTGGAAAGACCAAGATGCACTGCTTTAGGGCAGCTCTTCAGCAAATTAGTAATAACTTGGGAAAGCCAACATTCCTTAAAATCAGACTTCCCAGGCAATTGATGTATTTTCTTTAAACTACATTATTCTTATTGCAGTAATTTGGGTTGCTTCTAGGAAGAATAACACTGAAGTTGTTAAGGAAAATATGGGTGTGCTAATATTAGCCAAAGGCTATTTTTTAAAATATCTTGAGTTTCTCATACGACTGTGCAGTGCCCTCATAGCAGCCACCACGTTCAGCTCTCCCGAGCCTTCCTGGCAGAGCAGTGAGCCATAGCAGCTTTACAAAGATGGGAAAAAACTCTGCTGCCACCCCCAATGCTAAGCATTTCCAGTAGCCCATAGGTGTGCATTACCCTGCCAAAGCCAGCTGTTCCTGTGTGTGCCATGTCACACAGCCCCACGCACCAGGAGCACATGTGGATTTAATTCCCTGCCAATTTCAGCAACTAGAGAAGGCATTTCCTTGTTCTAGAAACACTCTGGGACACTACGGTCCCAAGCCATTTAATGAAAAAAAACCAACCCATTTCCCTCTGTCTGGACAGGGCCATTGCAAACTGCCATCGTTAGCAGTCCCATAACTTTAGCCAGGCTTGACGTGAGCCAGAGCCGGGGGCTCTCTCTGCAGGCAGTAGCTGTCATGCTTTCAGCTCTAGGGCTTTATTACGCACAGAGCTGCAGGAGTTTCCACCTAGCTTTACACCCTTTACGCCCTTGATAGCCTCATGTATCCAGGTTTGTCTTAAGTTTGAACTGATAACAGCTTAGCTGAAATGAGAACAGACTATTTCTACTGTTGCTGGCTGTCAACTCATGCCTTCTTTTTCCACAAAGCATATCCCATTCCTGTTTCCCTTTATTTTTCACTTATGTTCCTGTGGCGTTATCCTGCTAAGCA